AAAAAAAAAAAAAAAAAAAAAAAACAATCTAGCTAGCTATAGACTTGAGATATTGGGTGAGGGTTAATTGAACCTAACAAACAGTAATATAGACCTTGTTATTACTGAAATTTGGTGTGGACGATCTAGTTTTATTAGAGAACTCAGAGGACAAAGCTTGAAGAAAAAAAAATGTAGTGTTCTAAGATCTATACATTGATACTTAAAGATTGTTTGATATTATAGCTTAAAACTAATTATAAGTATTTTCATTTAATTCGATGAATATAATAGATTTGGTATTCCTATACTGAGGGGGTGGATTATCTCTCAATTGCTAATAGCCACAGGACCTAGTTTGGAACATGATTTGTTAAGCATATGTAGATGTAGAGGGCTATTCATATACCAGTGCTTAAGCACTTTCCCAATGTACCAAAAAGTAAAAACTGAATAAATAAAAATTCAGACGGGCTTCAACGGGGCGTTTACTTACCAGACTACAGGCCCATTTTGTAAAAACAATTTAATGAAATCTAGCCCATGTGAATAGTGCATGGGCTTCATTATCTGACGACGTTTCATTTACAGGCTGTCTGTTTCCCTTTGCAAGCTCTCTTTTTTCTACTTACTAGTTTGGTTGCCCTGGTAGATGATGGCAGGTAACGTGTTGTGGTTGTTGATTCAAAGTTACTAGTGTATAGAATTCAATTTATTTAAAGTACGTAGTTTCAATATAAATGAATTAAATTCTTTTGTTTTTGTGTGTTAGATAATATACCATATAATAAGAAATAACTCTTTCCTCTTTTCTTTAGAATTCAAACTTCAGATTTCACTAGAAAATTTTAAGTTCTTTTAACCACTAGAATGTCATCTAGAGGACACTTAAATGAATTATTTATGTTGAACGTCGAATGTAATGGTTTGAATAACTAAATAAAGCTCCATTGATTCTACTGGCTATTCCATTTGATACCAAAAAAAGTACCTGACCAAACGCTAGAGCCAACAAAGTAACTACAAAAGGTAGAATTATCATAGAACACAAGAAAATTATCTTGCCATCTTGGAAAGTAGAGCAATATTTAGTCAGACGATTTTATTTTCACGAACTTGATCAATGTCCTGCAAGTTTTAATGAAAGTTGCGTGAATACAAACTATTCCTAAAAAAAAAATTAGCTTGAAGTTAATACTGGACTTATTTGTAATATCTATTTTTTATTTTTACATGAAATCAAATTTTACCTCAAAACTTAACATTTAATTTTTTTTAACCGTAAACTCTAACTCTTGGTTATTATGATTTTAAAAAGGCAAGTTTTTCTATTGAACATTAAATAGCATTTACACTCTACTCCTAGGCATACTTGGGGAATTACACCCTCAAAACTTTAATCTCTAAAAGTTAACTATCTCATTATATACAACATTTTCAGCCAACAACTTACTAAGAAATACTCTTCTATTTCTCTCCTGGAAAATCATATATATATATAGTGCCAGCTAAAGCAGCTTTCAACTTCTTTGGCTAAGCTGAACAACCTTTACATGCCTTCCTTAGCCACAGCCATTCAACACTCCACCTTTCTGGTTGTCTCTGAATATTCAAGAAGTCCAAAACTAGCCTCCACACTTCTTTAGCAAAACTACAATCAAAGAAAAGGTGCTCACAAGTTTTGTCATATCTACAGCACAAGCAACACCCTTTCTCAATTCTCATACCTACATTTGTTAGCAAAACTCTAGTCTTTAGTCTACCTCGCAACACCAACGAAAAAATGAAGCTATGTCACGAGAAAATGCACCCTGCCCAAACAATATTATGCCATTCTACCCTAGGGCGTTTCACTCTTAAAAACTCATAACAACTAGAAATAGTAAACAAACCATTCTTTGCAGGTTTCCACACAACCTTGTCAACTTGTTGGGACAACTTTTGACACCTAATAATCTGGAAAAGCGTGGGATGCCTTCTCACAAAACTATTTGGAATAGTCTAATCCAATCCATCCCACCACTAACTAACGGTAAAGGCATGGCCCCAAACAGCAATCTCATCCTTTGAGATTAACTCACAGAACCTTACCTCCCCTACCCACCAATCATAGAATAATGAGACCTGTCTTCCATCTCCCACTTGCATCTAAATGGCATTTTTCAGTAGAGGATGAAGCTTTAAAACCTGCCTCCATGTCCAAGCACAATCTGTTGGAATTTGAGCCTTTCAAAAATTTTCACCTCTCAACAGCACTACCTATGTCCGCTTAACCCATGGCGACTCTTGATGTTGACATATATTCTAAATCGGTCTGCCTAATGCTGCCTTATTCCAATGCAGCGAATGCTTCACCCTTAGCCCCCCTTCTTTCTTTGGCACACTTACACAATCCCATGCTATAAGGGACATCGCATTATAATTCCATTTACCACACCAAATGAAATTTCCACAAGCAACATCAATTAACTTTAACACTTTCTTAGGAATCAATAAAGCACCACTCCAAAAAACTTGAATGTGGAATAATATAGAATTAACTAATTGAACTCTATCATCATTTGATAGAAATTTCGTTGCCCAGGAGCTAATTCTTCGATGAATCCTATCAATAACAGGTTGACATGCCCCAAGAGAAAGCTTTTTAGAAACCAAAGGCAACCCTAAATATCTAAGTAGAAGCTACCCCTCAACAAAACCCAGCTTTTGAATTAAAGAAACTTTCTGCCTTTCCCTAACACCACTAGAGAAAATTTGACTCTTCATCCTATTCACTTCCAAGCCGGAGACTCAGGAAAACTCCTCAAACATTTGCATCATCAATATAGTGGACTCCTCATCAGCCTTACAGAAAAACATAATGTCATCTGCAAAGATAAAGTGGGTAAGTTACATCGCTCGGCACTTACTATGATATTTGAATTTCTCCTGCATACCTTTCCTTCAATTTCCTAGTGAGATACTCCATCACTAGCACAAATAAGTAAGGCGAAACTGGATCACCTTGTCGAAACCCTCTTTGCCCCAGAAAATAACCTTTTGGCTATCCATTTTTCAAATAAAAGTTATTTTTATCTTTCTTGAAATAATGTATTAAATGATCTTTTTAAAAAAATTGATAACCAATTTTAAATGTTTCAAATTATAAATTAGGTGAACAAAAATTAAGGGTTCTTATTATAATATATGTTATAAGAGTTCCTTATTGTGGAGTCTTGAATTAGATTGCAAAACAAAATCGTTGGATGGGGATAACTCCCAATATTAAGGGACTCACTCCATTCAATAATAAATTTAATACAGATTAAATTGTAAACTAATTTTTTAGTGTTATAATTATCTTTTTAAAATAAAAATAAAATAAAGATAAATACATTAAATGATATTTTAAAAAAGTAACTAATTTTAAATGTCCTAAACTAAAGATTAAGTCAACTAAAACTAAACCTAAACTAGGGATGTCAACGGGTCCCGCGGGGCTGGGGAGTCCCTCCTCGTCCTCGTCCTCGTCCCCGCGAATCACAGGACGGGGATCCCGGCGGGGATTTTTTGCAAGGGGCAGATTTTGCCCCCCGTCCCCGTTCCCCGCGGGGAATGGGGACCCCTGCGGGGATCCCCATTCCCCACCAATTAATCTCATCAACAACACCACCCGACTCATCTACCAACCAAACAGAGCATTAAACAAACAAATTAATAAAAAATCAAAAACCTTTAAGATTAAATGTTAAACTCCAAGAATTGGAAGAAAACCAGATTTCGGGGAAATGAAATCTACCGAGCTTTGCAAGAAGTGGCGATCCACAGAGAAGAAGGAGGCAGAGGAGGAACCATGGCGATGCAAGCCAGAGAGGACATGGCATATCAAAGAACAATGGCTGTGATTTGGCGATCTCAACTCGAAGAACTCGAAGAACACGGCATATCAAAGAACAACGGCCTGAGTCTCCCCATTACTAGCGTTCTCAACTCGAAGAACACCTGCAAGGATCTTCACGCACTTGTGCGCCACAAGAGCGCGGATGGCGGATCTGGCAACCACACTCACGCTTCCGTTCACCATCCCAACCTTCCTCCTCATTTTACCTCCCTTCTTCCCGCCTTTGGCCATTTTCTTCTGCGGTGCCTTCCTGTCCGAGAAAGCTTGCTGGACCAAAATGCCTCTGCCACGGATCGAACCTGGTGTAGGATTTTTCGCATTTAATCAAGAGACAACGAAACGTCACCTTCTGGAAGTAGGGAGAGGAGGATGCCAGTTTGAGACTTGAGTAACTTGAAGCCGATTGCTGAGCCGTTGGTGAAGAGGTGGTAAGGAGTGCCGGAAGGGATAGGTTTGGGGACGGGAGAATGGGGCAGAAGGGAAAGGAAGGTTGAAGGTGAGAGTGAGTGAGGAGAGATGAGTTAAGGCTAGGGTTAAGAAGTTAATGATGGGTTGGGCTAATTTTTATGGGTTGGGTTGGGTGGAATAAAATTGGGTTAAGTTTAATTTTTATTGAGTTGGGTTTGAATTTAAAAATTGAATTAAATTTAAAATAAAATTATTTTTTTTATAAATTTTTCGCGGGGATGGGATCCCCGCGGGGCCCCATGGGGTGGGGAAAATTCCCCGCGAAATTTCACGGGAGGAAAATGCCCCCCGTCCCCGCCCCGTTCCCGTGACGGGGATCCCCGTAGGATCCTGCGGGATCGCGAGGGAATCGGGGCAAATTGCCATCCCTAACCTAAACCTATTATAACATACATAACATTAAATAAGTAATTATAATATTATATGTAACTAAAATAAAAAGAGCTAATTACAAAATAAACAGACGATTAACAGGGTTCGAACCCTTGTTCCCTCTCCTCATTTGAGAGTTTTAATAACTTGGTGTGTCCTATTAAAAAAGCATATTACAAGCAAAGCATTTTCCATTTTTTAAATAGAATTAATTAATAATCTTCGGCTACATTTTAGTATTACCGTATTATTGATCCGCAAATCCCGGATTGGAAACGTGATCATATTTAAAAATATTTCCCCAATAACAAATTTCTTTCTAAAAAGGGTTTAAATTATATTATTATATTTGTCTTGTTTTATTTCCATTGATAGGCTGCAGATCACCGTTAATTCTGCCGAATTTCAAAAGTCAATTCTATCAAGGGTATTTCAGTAACTACAACCAGATTTCCGGCGTGGCGTAACATTATTGCTTGACTACCGAAAAGTTCGGTGCAAGTTAGCTTAGCCAATCTCGTTCTCACCCCCAAAAAAAAAAAAAAAAACAAAAGAGGGAAAGAAAGAAAATCTCGTTCCCTAAGGGGGTGTGCAAATCTCGGTTTTGATTTTAACCAAAACCAAGATTTGATTAGCCAAAAATTTTTAATTAGAATTTTTAAGACCAAAATCAATATCAAAATTCATATTATTTTTTAGTTTAGTTAACCAAATTTTTGCACTTGCGGCTTCGACTGCGTTGGAAGTGCATCATCCCTTGGCGTCTATGTCAAGGGTTCTAGCTGCCACTGCTGCAGCAATATTATACATATTTCCCTATCTCCCAATTTCTCACTGATCAAAAAAAAAAAAAAAAAGTTAACCAAATTTTTAATTTTTATAAGTTTAGTTGTTTAGTTTCAGTTTTAATTAATAATTATCAAGTATAAAAAT